ATATTTGTGCCAATTTAAATGCAAAATTTAATATTGTCCCTGTTAGATTTAATTCTACTAAAAAGTCATCTAAGATCCTTTTCAAGATTTGGTGTCTTCACCTATCATATAAATGTGTTCATTGATAGCTTTATTCAGCATGAAAAAAAATCTCTAATAGAGAGCCACAGTTCTCTGTTTTTTACCCTATTCTATTTGAGGTTTCTATAATTGACGTGGATGAAGATAAGCAGAGCACCTTGGAGAATATGTACCAAGATATTCAAAGACACAGAGATGCCAGTTTTTACCCCCCCCCCAAAAAAAAAGAAAAAAAAGAAAAGAAATTGATTAGACAGAGAATTGCTCTATATTTTTAAAAATTCTGAGATAGAGTGGAAAATCACATGGTTTTCAATTAAGACAAAATAATTAAGAGAAATGTCTCTTTTGGCAGCCACTTAGAATAGTTGTTCTGGTTTCTCAGATGTACGTTCACTTTCCCCTTCCATTAGGAAAAGTTTGAGAAGCACCAACATAAGACACCCTGTCTATTTTCATGTCCTCTGTAGAGTTGAGAAGTCTGTATTTATCTAGTCATTTACAAAACGCTAAATAGGGTAGAGGCACCCTAGCAGACACTTTCTCATGTTATTTAAAGCCATTACTAGACATTCTTGAGAGGAAGCAACCCATATTACTCCATCAAGGCAAGACAAATAACAATAGCTAGCTGCTATTTGATTTTCAAGCAGTCCTTTGATTGATCTGCCTAGTAACCTCATAAAAAAAAACAGGCAATTCTGGTTTATTAAAGCTTCTCCTTAGTTGATATTTGTTGGCTGCTAATGACCATAATATTCATTTCTGAATGCTCAAAAACAAGCCTTTTAACAATCTGTTGTCAATTCTGCAAACATGAATCAAGTTGCCTGTAATTTCCAGAACCCACCCTACTCTCCTCTTCAAAAATAAACATGAAAGTTAGTCACTTGTGGTCTTGTGGTATCTCTCCTATTTGCCATGACTTTTCAAAGGCTACTGAACAGTAGCTTTGAGATGATGGCTGAAAATTCTTTTACCACCCTAGTAATATATCTGGCCTCATAACTCCTTATCTATCCTGGGCTAAAATTTTCACTTTTCAGTTTCTTCTCCATATTCAGTTTTAAAACCCATTTAGAAAGGAGAAGAAAAAATAGGAGTTGAATGATTCTGCTACTTCTCTGATATACTTTCTCTTATCATCTCTAAACAGTACACTTATTATTTCCTTTTTCTTTTTAACAACAAAAAACGCCTTACAGTTTCTTCTAGTCAACCATATATGTATATATATATTTTTTACATGTTTTATTTATATTTTGAGAGCAAGAGACAGAGTGTGAGTGAGGGAGGGGCAGAGAGAGGGAGACACAGAATTTGAAGCAGGCTCTGAGCTGTCAGCACAGATCCCAACACGGGGCTCAAACCCACAAACTGTGAGATCATGACCTGATCCGAAGTCTGACGCTTAACCGGCGAGCCACCCAGGTGCCCCGAGTCAACCATATTTTTGATCCTCAGTTTACTGGGGGCCTTTATTTATGACACTTTCATAATAGATTTGCATATATATATATATATATATATATATATATATATGATTTAAACTTTTAGATTAGTAGACAGCCATTTAGCTTTCCTGAGCTGTCTCCTGTTTTATTTGAATTATTTCATAATTTTTCAGCTAAAAGTTTTTGGGTTTTTAAATTCTCCCTTTGTTAGCCATATTCCCTTTTTGAAACTCAAGTCTGTGGGCCAACATTTTTTTTTCTTTGAACTTTTTGTAAGTTTCCCAAAGTCCGGGGCACTTGTCTGACTCTGAAGTCCAGGATTTTCTTTTCTGGCCATAATAAACATTAGCTTGGAGTTCTCAACATTTTTTATGTCATAGCATATCATTTTTTATAGTCTCACATGTGACACACCCTCACCAGTTACCCAAGTTTTACAAACCTCAAATATATCTTATCTGAAAGTAAAACATTGTAATCATATTTAATTGTCATGTGTATTGGTTATGTATCAGTTATGATCACTCTCCACAGTGCTTAAGGTAACATTGATAAACAGGCTGCTGATTATATAGGATTCCATGCTGCTTGCCATGTCAACCTTTTTTTCCCACTCAGGAAAGTATACTTGTGGGGCACCTGGGTGGCTCAGTTGATTAAGAGTCCAACTCTTGATGTCAGCTGAGGTCATGATCCCAGGGTCATGGGATCGAGCCCCACATCAGGCTGCACACTGAGCTTGGAGCCTGCTCTCTTCCTCTCTATTTGCCCCTCCCCTGCTTGCTCTCTCTCTCTCTCTCTCTCTCTCTCTCTCTCTCTCTCAAAAAAAAGAAAAGAAAAGAAAGAAGGAAGGAAGAAAGCATACTTGTAAGAACATAAGAGCAGTGATATTATCAGGATAACTTTACACTCAAATGTATGTATTTTTAGAAAGTAGATTATTTACAATTTTAGTCCTTTCACTATTAGTAACAGATTACTTAGGACTTACTTCATGTACCAAGTCCAAGTTGAAGATGACAGAGGTGCTTTCTCTTCTCCACACCAGCAAATATCTTTTCCTCATTAGTCAAAATAAGTGTAGGCCTCACTTGTTTTTTTTTTTAATATTTATTTTTGAGAGAGTACAAATAGGAGAGAGACAGAGAAAGAAGGAGGCACAGGATCTGAAACAGGCTCCACGCTGACAACAGAGAGCCCAACACGGGCTCAAACTGACAAACCATGAGATCGTGACCTGAGCCTAAGCTGGACACCTAACCAACTAAGCCACTCAGGCACCTCATCACTTGATTTTGACTACGAGGGAAGTCAGTACTTTACTTCATCAGGGTGTCCCAAGTTTCCTGTCTTGACAAATAACATACCTTTGTAAAGTCTGGGTCCCATTTGGCTCAGTAATCTGTAACATTCTCCTGTAGTCATCATTTCTAATGTAGTGGTATTTTGGCAGTCTGTTTATATGAACCCTTTAAATATGGCAGTGAACTCCATGAGGTCTTTAGAGTAAAGAAATGCAAGTTTTTGCAATCTATTAATTCAAAATAAGTTGAGCCAACAACTTGAAGTGAAATACAAAATTGCCTGTAAAAGGTATCTTTCTAACAAATCTTAACAATTCATACTAAATTTTAAATCATTAGATGATTAGACAATGCACTCAGTGATGAAAGCACCAAAGAAGAATGGGCTGGAAAGGAAAGAGAAGGAAAAGAAAGGAAATTATACAAGAAGGGGACATTTGGGAGCTCTGGACAGGCCATCCATCCATGCTGGTCTCCTCATAATATGCAGAATATTCCTAAACTAGAAATATTTTTCCTTTTTAATTAAGAGCCATTTGGAATGAATGATTTTTCATTATCCAGCTGCCTGTATTATAATTTTCACAATGTGTTACATTAAAGCCTGTCTATTCCTTATGAAAAATACAGGATTTTCTTAGAACTTGCTTCTCAGGGTATTTCAGAACTCCTGACACACCTTTATAAATCTGTTCTGTACTCCAAAATCTCTGATGTAAAGGGAATATAATCTTTAGTAAAGGTGGTGATAAACTTCTTTAAAAAAAAAAAACATAAATGTTATGTGTGACGCCCCTTTCCTATCTATTTATATGCCCCCCTCCAATTCAATTTCCGTGATGTTTTTGACCTAGAAAATCTGACCAAATTAATCCATTGAAGCTGCTCTTCAAGATCCTAAAACATCCTTTTCAGATCTAAAAAGAATTTTCAGAGTTCTTCCCTTTATCCAGGAAATCAAAATATAACATGGCAATGGGTGATGGGCATTGAGGAGGGCACTTGCTGGGATGAGCACTGGGTGTTGTATGTAAGCGATGAATCATGGGAATCTACCCCCAAAACCAAGAGCACACTGTATACACTGTGTGTTAGCTAACTTGACAGTAAATTATATTTAAAAAACAAAACAAAACAAAATATAACCTGGCAAAGGACAAACAACTTAGCTGTGGTCCTTTGACTACCTGAATATCTTCTGACAAAGCAGAATGGGAAAAAAAAGAAATGAAGGAAGAAAGGGAGAGGGAGAGAAAGAGAAGAGGGAGGGGAAGAGAAGAGTGAATATCAAAATATTAAGGAGATTGTTTCAAAATGAGCACTTATGTTTTTAAAAAGATTCATACAGTCTGTTAGCAAATGCATTAGAATGCAATGGTTACTATTTTTAGAAATGGACTTACTATGTTCACAATCCTCCTTTTAAACTTATTTTTCCTAATACCTATGTTTCTAATGATAAGGGAAGTTTTTTCTTGCAATATTAATACAACCGTACAGTATTGTAATGCATAATGGTACCAAGAGCTAGCGCCCTCCCTCTCCAATGGGTTGCATTTAACCTTAATGAATGCAAAATTCTATACTTTCCCACTCTCGCCTAGTAGGCAATGGCAGTAAATAGCCACAGCAAATGCCATAAAGCACTTCAAGCATGAATGAACATCAAGGCTTACCTGGTTATGCTAATATTTACTTCTTGGAAAACTATCTTTTTAAAATTCAGACTTTACTTTTTGACAACTATTCTCACATGAATTTATTTTTAAGAACTAAGCACTATCCTAAAACATACTATTAACTTATTAAGCAGTACCCTAAACATTATTTCTATGGACATCTTCCACATAACAAAAACCCAGACTATTTGTCTTTTTAGTTCGGAAGTCACATGGTAGTTTTTACGTAATCTCTACACCCAACATGGGGCTCAAACTTACAACCCCGAGATCAGGAGTTACATGCCCTATTGACAGCCAGCCAAGTGCCCTTCGCATGGTATTTTTTTTAAGCACAATTAAAAGCACTCCATTTGTGATTTTCATAGAGGATGTGAAAATCTGTCCAAAAGTCATCCAAACAGAGGGTCAACCACATCCTCAGATCCTTAATTGTGCGGAAGAAATTTTATGGACTTCACATGTGCCTGAGTTGTAAAACCTTAGCAATAATACTCTGGTCTCAAACCTTCACTTTTAAAGGTCACCTGAGATTCCACACTTGACCTAGAACAAAGCAGCAATTTTTCAGAATCATCTCTGTGCCTTCGTGTCCAAAGTTCCCCTATACTTTGAGACCTGGGGGACAGGGTCTCAAATTGAATATAAGTCTCTTTTGCCAAATCATCTTCCCAGAAGGATTCTGACCCACATTGCAGTTTACAAACTTTGTACAACAGGAAAAATATCAATGGCAAGACAACAACACAGGCAGTACCGCTCACCACGATAAGGAAAGACACTTGAGAATCACCTTCTTCTTCGACTCTGTCAACAGAAAAAGTGATACATTGGTCCTTCTGGGGAGGCACTCCCTTTGGACAGACGCATGCTATGTACTGCCTGCCAGGCTCCAAGCCATCTATGGTTACTTGGTCCTTGCTGGAGTCTGCATTCAGCAGCAGCAGGTCCTTCTCACCATACTTGGAATACAACACAGTCACCTCGGACTTACGTGTAGTGTTGACAGTGTTCCACATCAATGTCACACTCTCTTCAGTCTCACTGACTACTCTGAGATTTTCTATTGTGGTATTTGTCTCCATTGGCATTGCTTGATCCAATGACGCCAACTCTTCATTTTTACTTGCACTAGCTGAAGGAAGCTTACTTCCACCTATCTCCGCCTTTACATTTCTTTTCCCATCTGGGCGGAGCTGGAATGACTGCTGGCTGGCCATGGTGGGCTTTGTTGAAATTCTGGTGCTTAGAGTTGTGATTGAAGATGCAATGGAGGAGAGGAAAGGAGATAAGGAGAAGAAAGCAGTGGAGGGAGGAGAGGAAGTAGAAGTAGAAAGAAAAATGGAAGAAGCAGGGGAAGAAGATGAGTTAGAGGACCAAGGAGATGACAGTGAACCAGGTATGGATGTAGATCTAGATCCTGGCTGGGCTCTTTGCTCAAGGTGATCTCCAGTTCTTTCAGAGGTGTCTGATAATACCGTGGTTGTGACAACACCAACCACTGTCACAGTAACCACAGCTTCTGACATCCCAGCCAAATTTTTGGCCTTACATTTGTAATCCCCAGCATCCTTGTAAGAAATGCCTGTCAAACTTATTATGGACCATCTGACTCCTTCTCCTGGAGATTCCTGAATTACTGTAAGAAAAAATATATATACTCTGTGAGGAAAAACTCAAGCAACATGCCAACCTATCTGGTTCTACATGTATCCCTTTCACATAAACCAAGAGGGAAATGGCACACTGCAAATCTCTGATGGCAGGTGATAAGTTCTGTAAATTGTCTACATGGAGGTCTTTGATATGCTGGGTTCCATGAGGTCTATATGGGGAATGGTATTTTAAAAAGACATGGGGGGCTATGAATTGGGAGACTTGGTTTTAGTAAACGTTAGTCCATGAATTAGTGTTTGATTTCAGACAAGTCAATTGGTGTCTTTAAGCCTCTGTTACTATATTTTTAAAATAAGAGAAGACAAAGTGGTCTCAAAGATCGTTTCTAATTTTAACTCACTATGAAATGGTTATTATAAGATCTTACTTAAATATTTCCCAAGATATTTTTTCATTGTAATAAAATGCTATCTATCTACATAGGCGGCTGCCATAGCAGATAACTTTCTGGCATAGAGGAGTCAAAATTAGTATTCTCAATCTTTCATTTAATAGTTAATCTAAATAAATTAGTAAACCATGGATTCTATTATTTGCAGAATAATATACAGTTTTTGCAAAATTGGAATTTTACTTTCCTAAAGACTAAAATCTAACATATTACCATTCTGTCTTGGTTTCTGAATCTTTATGAAGAATAATAATGTACTGAGCACTATCCTAGGATCCCAGAATTTAGCTTGCTACCTTAAGCTGTGGGCCTTTTACTGTCTATTTATAAGAATATTAGGCCTTAGCTATTTTTTATTCCATCAGGTTTCTTTATTTCTATCTTGATTTACATTTAGCTTCAGTGAGTTTTTAAAATATATCACTCTAATTAATCAGAATATCACTACTGAAACTAAAGCCAAAGCACTGAGTTGGTCAGAGTAGGATCTGAAAAGTCTATGTAACCAATTTTTCTAAAAATTATATACTTTTTGTTTCATAATAAGGTTTGCATGTAATTTAAATAATGATTTGAATACTCATTAAAAAATGGGAAACCTATATTAAAATCTTTTTTAAAGAAAACTGTAATAGATATACATTTGAAAGTGATCCATATCCCAAGATGATGCAGCAAGACAAAGGCCTTATTTGCAGTCATCCATCCATTGGATCATGTTGTTTCTGTCTAAAAATCAGATTATCTAATTTCATCTACATAGTTAGTCAGATAAACTGAGGAAAAGATTAACGAATAAAATGAACTTTTCAAAGTCCTTTCACCCAATAATTTTGGTGTATTTTATTAGAATTAACTAGCCAATTTCAAATCACACAAAACCATGAGTTTCAATTAGACCTTTGCAAACTTGTTTTATAGGCCTAAATTAAGAAAATACCTGTATAATTAACTGGTGAGCTGTCAGATCTGGTCCACGTGAGCTGTGGAGTAGGCTGGCCAGTAGCATCACACCGCAGCAGAACATTACTGCCCAGAGCAGATGTGATCTGGGTGGCCGACGTCATCACTGATGGCTTCAAACACTGTTCCAACTCAGCCCGCTGAAATAGAATCCCTGTCAGGCGCTCAGGTTCACTACATATCATCAGTGGATCAAGAAGCACTATAGCAGGGTCAGCAACTTTTGACAACTCGATCATTTTAGAAATGTGACAGTCACAGAACCAAGGGTTGTCCTGCAGACCTAAACCAGAAGGGAGGAAAAGATTGATAAAGGTTATCAACAGATGACTTCAGTTTACATCATAGTCACTTGGGCAAGCAAGCATTTGCGCTGTCTCCCTAAAAACAGAAGTGCTTTGAGAGATGAAAGGGGAGTCACCTCTCTGTCAGTTTTGCCCTACAATCTGGCTACCTGAATGAACATAGCCTGTCATTTCCGACCATTAATGATTGTAGCCAACATTTACTGAGCATTTACTCTGTACAGGTCTCTGTTCTAAGGATGTACCTCTATTATTTAATCCCAAAAATCCTGTGAAGAAGAGTATTAGTGTCCTCATTTCAAAAATGAAGAAGCTGAGATATAGAGAAATCAAATGATTTGACCAAGGCCACATAGCTAATCAGCATCTGAGCCAAGATTCTAATCCAAGTACCACAGAATACTATAAATACACTAATAGAGATATTTCTAGCATGTTATGAAAGTACTTCTATTACCGTAGGTATTGGAGGGTGTAGAGAGACACCTAACTCTGCCTGCACTGTGTCTTGGGTTTGCGTGATGTGAAGACCTTTGGAGGACAAGTTCTGTGTAGCATGTAGAGTGAGATGCAGGAGATGTCAGGAGGTAAGACTGGAGACTGGGAGAGGCTGGAACAGAGCTTGCCATGAATGCCATGCACGGGGGCCGTACAGGTGCCCTACCCAAATCCCCCTTCAAGAGAGAAGCAGCAGCAAGGAATAGAGTTAGCTGACAGCCTCCGGTTGGAGGACTGCCTCAGCTTTCAGAACTGTTAGCAGACATGCTTTGGCCTTCAAGAAGAGTGTCTGTGAGAGCTTTAAAGGCAAGTGAGGAAAATGTAACTATTGGAAACCAGAAGAAAGGAGACCCTTTTATGGAGTGGCAGAAAGTTTAGAACACTGCCACCTGTGGTAAACATGGAAAGGAGAAAACACATTCAAGGAAATGAATGTTCCAGCCATTGATATTTCCTTCCACACGGAGTGTTGAAACTGCTGCCCGGTTCTCCTTGCTGCTCGTAGTAAAATGTGAAGGGCAGACAACAGCTAAAGGAAGAACTGCTAAATATAAAGGAGCCAAAACTTGCTGGGTTGAGTAATAAAATTGCTCTTAAACCCAGCCTCTCCAAAGTTCTCAAATTAAGAAAGGGCTTCAGAGCAAAAATCAAATCCAGAGACAGTGAAAGTATGTAATTATTTGCTAATATCCTAGAAGGATCTCAGGTAGTGCTTCAGAGCCTTTGGTCAGACAAAAATCTCTCTAATGATATTAAGGGTGATGTCCCATGTAAATAAAGTGCAAAGCTGAAAGAGATTTATCTCAAAAAGATTTATGGTTGTGGCTTTTTACTAATGGAGTGGATTATAACATTGATTCATAAGGAGAAAAGACAATCATAATTTTTAAACATTCTAACCATGTTAGAAGATTTAACTTCATTCATAAATTCTATTTATGTCTCTTTATGTCTATTTTTATTAGAATAGCACTTCATGAGTGGTTCATATTTTTCTGCCAGAATTTATAAAAATTTACAGTTTTTTTATCTTCTATCTTAGAAATTTCACTTCTTCCATGGATGAATTATCTTGAACTTCTTCCTCTTACATTTAGTCCTGTGAATCTATGACCAGTTCTCTAATATCCAACTTGCCAGCAAACATCAAATTCATTCTGTCATGTAACAGTTAACATGTGGATAATACTTTTTGCTCTCAAAACACTTGTTATGCTAAATTTTTGCTTTATAAAAGAATAACAAAACAAGTTGACAGTTATTGTTTCCTGTATGACAAATATTGTACTTGTCAAGAATTGTAAAGGGTCTGAGTTTTATCCAACTTTAGGGTGACCAGTTGGCAGAAGACATAAGACTTCTGGTCAGAGATGAAGGAGATCTGGAGGAAGACGTTATTATCTCCTTTATACTGGGCAGTAAACATGCCTACCCTTTGCTCTGGAGGGAGATACATCTTTACCTTCCAAAGCAGTTCTCTACATAAACATCCTTAAAAAGATAGTTCAGAACAAAAGGCAGTGAGTGCCCCTGCTCACTAGACAGAAATGTGAGACACCATGGAAAATTGTCTTCCAGCAGTGCTAAGTATGCTGAAGGATTTGTCTACCTCAAGCCTGACAATAGCATGAGGTAGATAATATTAGTATCATCATCATTTTATTTTTTTTTATCATCATCATTTTAAAGAGGAAAAAGCCAGCACTCAGAGAGGTTAAGGGTCTTCCTGTCGTTACACAACTGAATATAGTCAGGATTTGAACCTCAGTATCCTGATTTTAAATCTCATTCCCAAGCACTGTATGTCTTATATTGACCTCAGGAAGCTAGTGTGATTCTCCAAGTCTCACATCAGAGGATGCTAAAGCACAAAGAGATTACTGCCTTGATTCTGTAAGTAGCTTAGAGTCCTAACTAAATCCCAGATGTTTTAGCCTCCTAATCTACTACCCCTTCCACCGTAACTCATTTCATCACCTAAAAATATTTAGGGCCACCGGGTGGCAGCTATAGTGCTGTTATCTATAAACACGTCAAAGCAGCAATGTCCGGAGCACAAATGTCTACATGGGGAACCATCCAAGAACTGTAACATTAACGGGTCTACTCATGCTTTGAAACTGTCCTAAAAATGTGTTAATGGTGAAACAAAATTCTCTTAAAAATGAATCCTACTTTTACGTCTAAAAGTTATGTCTAAAAGTTACATAAAACAGGAAAATATTTTAAATCCCTCAAAAACATAATGTTTATTCTAGATTTGAAACATCCAAGGTCAAAGGAACTTTTAGAGCTTGAAATAATAATAATGACCTGAGTGCTGAACACATTCATCAGGTGTTTTGTGTTTTTTGTTTTTTGTTTTTTTCCTTTGGGGGACAAAGGTACAAGAACTCCCTGAAGTTAAACTGTTATTTGCACTGCATTCCTTCAAGGCAACACACCCACCACAGTCACAGTAATTTGCATTAATTAATTTAGTTTATGTAACTATTCTTGGATGGGGCAAGCCAACTTTGCCTTATTCCTTTTCTAAAAGGATAATGTTTTCCATTTATCACAGTAGTTGAATTAATTGTGCTATTTTGTGTGTGTGTGAAAAGTCAGCAATAAATTCTTGTACCAAAGTTATTCTATAAGCTCTTGAAAGCAAAGACCATGCCTTAGTCCGTTTTGTAATGACAGTAGTGTCTAACAATTCAAGGGGGAAAGTAAAGTCTTTTCAACAGATGGGTGCTGGAACAACTGGACATCTGTTTGGAAAAAACCTCAATCCCTACCTCACGCTACACTCAAAGACTATTTGAGATGGACCACAGTCATAAGCATAAAAGCCAAGAATATAAAGCCAGAGACTGAACATAATAGTTAAAATTATAAGGAAAACAGAATATTTCTGTGACTTATAGGAAGACAAATATTTCTTAGATGAGACACAAAAGGCACTAACTATAAAAGAAAAAGCTGGTAAATCAGACGTCACTAAAATTTAAAAATTTCTTACCAAAGACACCATGAAGAAAATGAATAAACAAACTACAGACTTGGAGACAATATTAATAATACATATAATTGACAAAAGGCTTGTATTCAATACTAAAAAGAAAATGACTTTTAAAAATTGTATATTGGCATAAAGGAATATAGCAATGACCAATGGCCCAATGAAAACATGGTCAATGCCATTAGTCATCAGGGAAGGGAAATGCAAATTAAAATCACAATGCGAAATCACTCCCTGACCACCCACCCCTAGGAAATGACTGAAATGAAAAAGACTGATAACATCAAGTGTTGGTGAGGATATGGAGCAAGTAGACTGTTACACAGTGCTAGTGGGGATGTAAAATGGTACAACCTCTGGAAAATTGGCAGTTTTTTAAGGAGTTATATAGCCATCTTAGGACCTAGCAATTTCAATCCTGGGAATTTATCCAAGAGAAATAGAAAACAGGTGCCACAAAAACCTTTGCATAAAAATGATAACAGCAGCTTAATTCATAATAGCTAAAAACTGGTAAGAGCCCATGTGTCCAAAAACAGGAGAAAGGATAAACAATTCATACATTCATAAAATTGAGTATGACTCAGCAAAAGGAACTATCTGTACATGCAGCGACACGGATGAATCTCAAGAACAATAATGCTAAATGAAAGAAGCCAGGCACAAGAGTGTATTTTAGATGATTCCATTTACATAAAATTCTAGGGCAAACAAAATTAACCTACTGTGATAGAAATAAAAATAGTGGAAGGGGTGCCTGGTTGGCTCAGTCAGTTAAGTGTCCGACTTCGGCTCAGGTCATGATCTCATGGTTTATGGATTCAAGCCCCACATGGGGCTCTGTGCTGACAGCTCGGAGCCTGGAGCCTGCTTCGGCTTCTGTGTCTCCCTCTGTCTCTGCTTCTCCCTGCTCACGCTCTGTATCTCTCTCCTTTGAGGATAAACATTAAAAATTTTTTAAAAAGAAAAAAAAATAGTGGTTGCTTGGAATGGAGGAGATTGACTGAAAAAAGACAAAAGGGGAACTTTTCCAGTGTGATAAAATTATTCCGTATCTTGGTGAGGGTGTGGGTTCTGTGGAGGTATGGCATTTATCATCATTTTCTTTTTTTTTTTTTTTTTTTTTTTTTTTTAATTTTTTTTTGTTTGTTTTTTGTTTTTTTTTGGTTTTTTTTATCATCATTTTCTAAGTTGTGTATTTAAGATCCATGGTATGTAAGTTATACTTCAACTCCTCAATTTAGAAAAGGTTTGAAAAACAAAAGAATGATATCTCTGGAGATAAACTGAACTTGAAGCTTGACTGCCTCTCCACCAGCTGTAAAAAGGTGGTAATACAGACCCACTTTATGGTATTGTCCTGAAGGCTGAGATACTGCCAGGGAGTCCTTAGAAGAGCACCTAGCAAGGAGTCAGCCTTAACTGCGTGGATTTGTCTCCTTGGTGCCTAGCAAAGAACAAGCATACCAACAGGGACTGACAGGTGTTTGTTGAATTAAATTAATGCCATTTTAGAAAATTTTGTGGGAATACTCATGTGGCCGCTGCCCTTTGGGCAAACTTAATTCTAATCTGGAGAAGAACTTATGTTTGCAATTGAGAAAATTTGGGTGCCAGTAAAAAGCACTCAGAAAAGCATTTTATTATCCTCTCCTACTGCAAGCTTTTTCCTCCAAGACAAAGAGTGTGGAGCCTCACAGTCTGCCTGTGTAAATATTTGTCTATTCTGGAGAAAGAGACCATGGAAATTTATCTGTATTGCAAATCAAAACTCCAATCTAGTTTCACAGTTCACTTAAATGTTTACTTGCAAGACACTTGTTTATGTTTTTATGATACATTAGAGGATAATTTGATTAAGCTGATATTTTTACTCATGTAGAAAGAAGAGTCATGGAAAAGCCTCTCCCTAATTTTTTATATTAAATAAATATATGATTTAAAGAGATAGTAATGCATACGTGAGGAAACTAACTCTAGTGTTATTACATACAATACATTACAAAAGAGTGTGGAAGCACATGGGTTCTGGAGCCAAACAGCCTGTATTCACACCCCAGCTCCATGAGTATGATGAGTAAATTTGGGCTTGTGGCTTACCTTGTGTCTCAATTCTTCTGTAAAATGGGGATGAAATGATACTTAATACAGGGTTAACGTGAGACTGGAAGAAGTTATATATGTAAAGTATAAGAACGAGACTTGGCCTTGAGTAAGCACTCCATCAATATTACCTATTACTATTATGGTTACAAACAGAACCGCTGTCTGCTAACAATAATGAACACGGTACAATAACAAATAAAAGCAGAATGTGTTCCACCATAATAATAGAAAAGTAAATTCTAGAGGGTACTTGGAAAGATATAATTGCTACAGTTAAAACCTGAGTTCTAGAAAAGCTAGAACTGGTTCTCACCACCATATTTTAATGACGAAATTAGAAGACTCCAATATAGTTAAAATAACAGAAAAAGCCAAAATAGAGGAGTCTTTCTTTATAAGACACATCTATCTCAGTCACAGCTGTTGCGGATTATTGTTGATCTAAAATTATAACCTCAGAGACTGTCCACCTCATATTCTAAAGAACTGTCACATAAAATATCTTATAATATTCTCATTACAGTCTTATGAGTCAGAAAAGAGGGAGTGAGTCCTCCTATCTCCATTTTCCAGATGAAAAACCCCGAGTTTTCTGTGCGTGATTCACACACATGAGCCAGTCTTTTTTTTTTTTTTTTCTAATTTTTTTTTAACATTTATTCATTTTTGAGAGACAGAGAGAGAGCGTGAGCGGAGGAGGGGCAGAGAGAGAGGGAGACACAGAATCTGAAGCAGGCTCCAGGCTCTGAGCTGTCAGCACAGAGCCCGACGCGGGGCTCAAGCCCACGAACCAGGAGATCGTGACCTGAGCCGAAGTCAAATGCTTAACTGACTGAGCCACCCAGGTGGCCCGAGCCAGTCTTCTTATTAGAGGAGAGCATTTCTTTCCCCTTTTGTTACATAGCAGGCTATGATTTTGCTAAGATCAGCGGCCACATATGGTTGGGCATGTTTCAAAATATCTTTTGTTATTTATTATCATTATTATCATCACTATTATAAAAGCAATGCATGACCAAAGCAGAACATTTTGAAAATATAGAATACTGAAAAGATGTCCCACCACCCAAAGAGGACAATTAACCAGCTAGTGCAGCTAGTGTATTTTTAAATTTTTTTCTTTGCACATTTTATTTATTTGTATTGTATTGTATTGTATTGTATTGTACTGTATTGTATTGTATTGTATTTTAGAGACAGCATTGCAAGCAGGGGAGAGGGACAGAGGGAGAGATTGAGAGAGAGAGTCCTAAGCAGACTCCACACTCAGTGCAGGGCCCAACTCAGGGCTGAATCCCACAACACAACCCTGGTATCATGACCTGAGTCAGAGTCAAGAGTCAGACACTCAACCTACTGAGCCACCCAGGCGTTCCTCTTTGCACATTTTAAATAGTTATGATCATGAATATGTATAATTACATACCCTGATTTCTCAGTTTAATGTTATACCAAAAGTATTTTCATGTCACCTTTTTAAAGAATCTGCTTTTGAACAATCTGAACCCTGAAGCATAGATAAAGATGTTTATCTCTTAGGACTGTGAGATTTCATAACCCTTTTCAGTTTGATCCCTAAACTTTTATCCAGATTTAACTCACAAGGTAACAATATTAATGTCCCATAAATCAATTCTTCATAATGATATTAGCAATATTAGTGACTAGTCATTAGAGAGCTATTAATAAGAATTTATTAATTTGATTTTATTTTCTACTATAGATCTCCATTTGGTAATTCTATTAGAACCAAGAGTCACTTTCAAAGAAACTTAGAAAAATGTGTAGAGAAATAGAATCTCAATGTTTAAGACAATTTCTAGCTATTAGTCTTACTCATAAGGACTAAATTAGTGGCTAAAATAGAGTAAATAAATACTGCTGTACAGGTTTACACGGTGCCTGTCATGCTGTACATAATAAGAAGGACTCCACAACTATTGTTAAATTAAACTAATATTTTTCCCCAATCCATCCTATAATATTCCTTTTATTCTCTAATAGAAATGTTTGAAATATTAGATAAACAGTAGGTAAACAAAAAATAGCCATATAATAAAAAATTACATGACTTTTCCTCTTCGTGTCTGTTTTTTATCACTCATATTTTTAGTCTCATAAGCACCAAAATGTATTTACATTTCAACAAAAGCAATGCTAAAATCATTTAAATGCTGCCACAGCATTTTTCCTTTTTATCAAAAAAAAATCTCAGTTATCTTTATTTATAATTTGCTTTGGCAAATATTTGAGCATGTGATATTGGTCAATAGGAATTCCTGGCACAAATTTAGCATCGAGTTGCCTCTCACGCCAAAAGGCTGATAGTCATTTCCCTGGCCAAAGACCCAGTTCTTTCATCCTGAGAAATACAGCCTCTCCTGCAGCCCTGATGGACATAAATGGTGAACTAATGACCTAGGCTTACTGGGTGAACAAGAATTTAGGAAATCAACTTGATCAGAGCCTCAGGCTTGTGTCACACACAAAAGTATGAAAGACCTCACTGCCCACAGATACCCCTTGAGAAGGGTCTCAGTTCCCTGATTTCAATCTGGCAACCACATTTACCGGGCATTTGCCATGTGTAGAGCGCCGTGCAAAGCACTGTGGGAAGATACAAAAAAAGGAAGAGATAGACTTACTGAAAGGAGTTTACACTTTAAGAACCCAAGACAAATACCCATAGAACCTAAACAAAGTCAAGATCAAAGTCTACAAAACATATCACAGTTAAACTAAGAGACCAAATCCACTAGGCGACCCCAATAACTGGTGCCTTCATCATTTCTTTCTAGATTAAGAAAATTTGGAAGCTGTTCTCCCTAATTAATTAAACCACTGCCACCTCATAAAGATGCCAGTGCCCCTCTTCTACTCCTGAAGAACCTGATGAAGGGCTGAAAAGAGAACAGAGCAGGTTGACTGTGGCAGAGCATGGAGCATTGATATGTTCACAGAAACAGGGCAGGTTGGTAGGTGTTGTCACTCAGCCCCAGTATCTCTGACAGCACCATCAGTCTCTCAGTTTATGAAACTAACTCTCCTCGCTCCTCCAACACACATACTGCCTGCCACCCTCCCTCCAGCGCTCATAGAGAGCCATTACACGTTACACAGGGTAAACAAGTCAATTGACCCTAAGTCAACCAATAAAGTGCCATTCCACCAAAAACTCAAGTATAGAGTAAAAAGCCAAATTCAATAAATGTGAAAAGGCTGAACAGCTGAAGGCACGCAAAGCAAATAATCTGGACCCAAGAAGCCCAGAGGCTTCTGAGCTTACCAAGAATAATTCTTTGTGGTGAAAGGTCCAGGCTTCTTGACGATGTTGTAAGTAAGTGGGACCAGCTCTCCAGGAAATCTGGTGGTAGTGTGGTTAGCCTGTTGCTTGATAAATCCAAGTAGACAAGGTTCTTCAGGTACCTGACCACTTCATTAGGCACACTGGTTATTTTATTGTTGTGCAAATCCAGGGTCCTCAGCTGGGGCATGTCCAGCAGAGATGCCCAAGGGAAAGCGGCCAGAGAATTTCCATCCAAGCGCAACTCATGCAGCTGCTTTAGGTTGTAAAAGCTGCTGGCATCAAGGCTGGCCACGGAATTGTAAGTCACCCAGAGGTACTGGAGCTCCACCAGGTAGTAGAAGGCCTCTGCGGGGATTCTGCGGATGACAGTCTTCTCAATACGTAGCTTCACAGTTTCCACAGGGAAGTTCATAGGGACCTCGTTCATATCCAGGTCATTACATAGCACCGACCTAGTGTCACAAAAGCAGTGGAAGGAAACCTGCTTTCCAAGACCCACGTGAAAAAATAATACTTGAAACATGCATCAGTTTTTCATTTCCTACTCGTTTTCACAAAATACCTGTTCAGCCTGGCTGACCTATTCATAATTCATCATCACCATCATCTTCTTCTTTTAGGTTGAATCATATGAAATGGCCATTTTTGTAGGATAAAAATGATCAAATATCAGCAATTTCATGTGTTTCAACCTACTATTGATGGAACTCTTTATGTGTCAGACCTGTGCAACACACATCACATCCACCTAATTTATCAACAGCCCTATAAGGTAGATACTGGGTAATAGGTAAGGGCACCGGCTCTGGAGTCAGGCTGATCTTGGTTCAGATCTAAGCTCTGCCACTTCCTTTGTGGACATGAAAAGCCACGTCAGTCCCTCAACTTCATTTTCCCACATGGCACTGTTAGGATGATTAATTGAAATGGGTGTAAAATTTTATACCTTCCTGGCACATAATAATGGGTGTTTGCCATTTTTTATCATTAATCTCATTTTTACAGAGAAAATAACTGAGGCCCACCAATGTGCGGTAACTGCTGAAGGTCATATAGCCAGTGGGTTACACAGCCACCTATTAAACCCACATCTGTCCAACTCTACAGTACACACTTTTAACCACTTTAGGAAATGACCCATATTTTTAAAATCCCCTGTTAACGTTATAAATTGATCCCTTTTAAATAACTTAATTTTAAAAAGGAAGGAAGGAGAAAGAAAAAAAAGCCAAGTGTTCACACTAGATGCTTAAAGTTGAACTCTATTTTAATGTGACCAGTGACTTCCTTTCAGCCTAAGGAATAAACCAGAAACTGCAAGTTTATTTCTTTTACCACTCACTAACTTAAGTGACCTTGAGTAAGTCACATTGTGATCTTGTTTAATGGCATTTGTAAAACAGGCATAGAAAAACAAGCCTGTCCCCTCTGTGGATATAAAGTATGAAGAATCAGAGAATTTAGATTCATTTTAACCTGAAAAAAAGACTTATTTATCCCTCATTCATACTCACTCCCACTGGATTGCTGAAAAATGAACAATAAAAATTTTGCAAAGCATAGTCTAAATTACAGTCTATTATACTTGTAGTACATAATAACAATGAAACAGCCATTTGGTAAAAACAGGACATTAAACCAGTGAATTTTAAAAGCCAGTGTATAATGTAAAGGGAAGTAGGTAGCAGAAAGCTGGAGTGCGCTGACAATATCATCTTCTTTCTGTAATTTTAGGAGAAGACTATGGAATCATTGGAATTCTCTAGGAACACCTCTTTTTCTTCATCTCTATTCCAAATTACAACTTTCGGTGCTATTTTATAACAGAATGGTAAGTCAGCATTCCAGCGTAATGGAAAAAAGCCTGGAGAGGAAGCTGAAAGACGTAGCATCTTTATCAACCAGTCACTGCGTCAACTCAGTGTTGTGACCTTGGGACAAGTCATTTAATCTCTGTATGATTGTGTTTCTTTGTTTATAAAAGGACAGCAGTCAAACTAGATTATTTCTAGAGTCCTTGCCAGGCATAATGTGCTATGGTTTTTATAAAATCAATAATGGGGTTATCATGGGGAAAAAAATAAACATTTCTGTGGCTGTTTCCTCAAAATTACGGAGTCCCTAGTCATTAACTGCTTCATATCTTTTGCCAAGTAGGTCTTTAATTTGTTACATTCTTTCCTTGTCTTAACCTACTTAGTGAATATCCCAAAAAGATACAAAGAGTTGGTTAAGTAAAGTCCAAACAATAACAAATCAAATTACTCAAAAATATATTTTACTTGTTATTGTTTATTTGTTTAAAGTTGTAAGATATAGTGGCCTGGGTTGCTCAGCTGGTTAAGCGTCTGACTTTGGCTCAGGTCATGATCTCCAGGTTCATGGGTTTGAGGCCTGCATCAGGCTCTGTGCTGACAGCTCAGAGCCTGGAGCCTGCTTGGGATTCTGTGTCTCCCTCTCTCTCTCTGCCCCTCCCCTTCTCGTACTCTGTCTCTGTCTCTCTCTCTCTCTCTCTCAAAAGTAAACATTAAAAAATAAAAATTAAAAAAATAGTTTTAAGACATAAATTGGGTGATTCTTTTAACTAATTATTTTCAATGAGAGTCTCACTGTTCACTTCAACCAAGCCACAAAATAATCTGGTTGTTATTAAATATCCTCCCCCCCCCCACCTCCCCCCCACCAAAATCAAGTTCTACCAGGTTTAGCTAACAACAGTTCTGTTTTGCATTTAACTTCTATCTCAAAGGACTCACTACATTATTAGTATGTAAGTATTCTCACTCCACAGGTAGATGTTAAAGCAGCCCAGAGATTAACTTCAGTGAGGCCCCCCAGTGTCTGCAATAGACAAGGCTGATTTGTATCTTTCCAACTTTTCTTTGTAAACTCCAGTACCTTAAAATGAAAAATTCTAACTATGAACAATTCTAAATTCACTCTTGTAATCTTCCTTCCTACTTTTTAAGGTCTATCCAGAAGACATGAAAAAGAAATGGGAAATCAGGGAAGCAAATGCTCTGGTTACCTCCTAGATTGGCCCTCCCTCTCATGCCTTCTGTAAACAAGCTGAGCTGGCCACACACATTTCAGTGGTTTGACCTAAAAGGGACAGGTTGTGAATATGAGTGCAGTGAAGATTTTGGTTACACAGAATGTGTTTGAGAGTCTCAGATAATTTGAGAGGGTTTTAAGAGCTGAATTGCTCAAAATGAAAACAATGGAGTGAGCAACTGGTATTAACACAATTAAGCTAAAGCTTAGGTAAATTAAATCTTCTGTCCTCTGATACCTGGTCAACAATTTGCTTTCAAAATAAGGCTGCCTAGTTGGAGTCCTTTTCCAAAAAAATCATTAGAACACTTAATAGCAAGGAGAGGAGCATACCTTGATCCTGTGCCGTCATTTCTGCCATGATAATCGCAGGTGCACTGTGAAGGACATGAACAGCTCACTCCCTCCAAAAAGCTAATGAGCACAATGCACAGGCATGCTGAAAGACGCATCGCTCCTTGTAGAGGTTATTTGAACAGAAAGTAAAAACCAAATCCTAAACTTCAGAAACTGGTGTGCCAAGAATGCAAACAGCCATTTAGTAACAGCAGATTAGATGGGATTAGCTGAGATCTGTAGTTACTTAACCTTCAAGTGTATTTTACAGGGGATCAATCGACCTAGGCTTTGAAAATGGTTTCAGCAAAGTAACACATTCCAAGGAATATGAAAATCAAGCACATGTCAAGAAAATTTCAATAGTTGCCCATCTCCAGATTTGCAAGGAAATGCCTATTAAATCCTTTTCCTATAAATGTAATTGCTACTATACTGTGAAGATACACTTAACGTTTAAAACAATTCAATGTTTTAGGGGTGCTAGAAAATACTGCAGCTTATTTATATAACATTATAAATTATAGTTTTTGCATTTGTGATCTCCAAAAACAAAGTAAACAAAACCCAGTACCTAGATTTTTTAGGCAAAATGCTTCAATCCACCACTGAGTAGCAGGACCCAGGCTCTGGTGAGAATGTCTCCTGCAGCTCTCCCACATCAACTCAGTGCAGCATGTTTGTTTGTAATGAAGGCCATTATCTTGGTTTAAGAATATATTTTATTCTACATTAGTTTCCCAAGTTACGGGCATCAAGCCAGATCTGAAGATCCATTTCTTTTAGCAAAATTAGGCTCTATCAGAAAACAAAAATGTAATTCAATAATTAAAAACTACCTCCAGCCCCGTGTCAGGCTCTGGGCTGATGGCTCGGAGCCTGGAGCCTGTTTCCGATTCTGTGTCTCCCTCTCTCTCTGCCCCTCCCCCGTTCATGCTCTGTCTCTCTCTGTCCCAAAAATAAATAAACGTTGAAAAAAAAAAAATTAAAAAAAAAAAAAAAAAAAAACTACCTCCAATCACAGAAGATGGAAAATCCTCATCGACAGTTGATAGTCATGGATTTAGTGGTGTGTGTGTGTGTATATGTGTGTGTGTATTGATTGGCCTTGCCTGATCACACACACACACACCCACACACACACACACACACACATATATATAATTTAATCTTGCTATTATTGTACTGGGTAGTTCCATCAATCATCTTTAAACCAAAAAAAACTTTTTCAAAAGGAAATTCTATAAAAGTAAGAATATTATGGGAAGTTTTATTTAAAACTGATAGAATGCATATAGAAACAATAAAGTCAGCAAAATGTGCTCAATTAAAATAAAATACTGCAGATTTTAAATGTCCATTATTTAAACAGTATTACATTATCATACTATGCTTAATGGTTATTTCAAACAACAAATACCTGAGTCTACAAATGCATTCCACATTCAACAGTTTTTTTATTGAGTGCCTACTATGTACCAAGCAACATGCAGTTATGTGCTAAGAATACATCAAAGAGCAAGCATACAGCTATCAATAGCCATTTCAGTTAAGCAAGACAATAAGTTCTACAGATCTGCTGTGCAATACTGTAGTCACAGTTACCAATACTATATTGTACACTTAAAAACTGGTTGAAAGGGTAGATTGCATGCTGTGTTCTTGCCACTATGAAGTAAATTTCAGACAAAATAGGAACAAAAGAACAAAACACAAAAAACCCACTCTGATTAAATTAAGTCTAGTGGCAAATATATGGAAATATATATACAGAAAAATGTTAATTGAAAATGCAGAATACATAATAATATACAGAGATTATATTGCTATATAAAGTAAATATGTGCATCAACTAATGTGATTTACAAGCAAATGTTTAATATTCATTTGATTATTTTTGTTAAATAGTATGTTAATATTTGCATTAAAATTTTAAGAGTGAAATGCTAAAAATGTTTTCCATCTAGTTCCATCTAGGAACATCCAACACCTCATTTCTGTAATTTACTTACTGAAGACTATTTATTATTATTAATTTATTTGAATATTAAAATAATGGCTACTTCTAGTCTAATGGAGGACCCAGGGAAGTTACTTGGTCATTGATACAGTGTAATGAATGCCACGATTGGGAGAAATAGAATGGGCCTTAATCTCATGTGCCTAGCTTCGTCAAAGGAGATGGACATAAGTTTACATAAAGGACATAAAGAAACATTCACTACAGTAGCCATCCCACAAATAGAAATAGGAGAAACACTTGAGGCATTTAGGGTCTAATAGGACAATAATCTATGTATCTGATCTAAACACAATCATATTTAAAATAAAACTAAACCATTGGAGAAAAAAGTAAATAAAAAAATTTTGATACTGTGTGCTTTTTCTCTTATTTCACTTTCTTCCAGAAGTCAGTGGATTTTGAGATACATCCATTGGTAAAATACTTGTCACGGGCATAGGTTGGTGATTCTCACATTTGAACATGGCAAACATCGCCTTCCGAAATCTACAGTAAAAAAGGGGAAATCTGGCATTATCCTATAATGATTTGGAACTATTAAAGCATTTTCAAATATGGCTAAGATGCCTCTACTGCTAATTGACATCTCCAAATAAATTTCTGCCTCCAACTTTAAAAGCATTCATAAATGTATAAGGTATATGGTACAGTTACAGACCAGTTTTACACCACTGATTATAAATATTGAAGGCATTTAATACAAATCAATAGTTATGCCTGTTTAAGATGACACTTCTAATGTCAATTACAGTTTACTTGAACCAAGGATGTGTGTTTCATGCATTTGTTCTTCTGAACAAAGGCCAGTTGAAATTAAGGGGAGCTTGAAAATGACTAATCTTTCCAAAAGAACTACCAATAGGCTCTGAATTTAAAATGTGTTCTTGGGGCGCCTGGGTGGCTCAGTCGGTCAAACCTCTGACTCTTGATTTCAGCTCAAGTCGTGATCTCACAGTTCGTGAAATAAAGCCCTGCATCAGGCTCAACGCTGACAGCGAGAAGCCTACTTGAGATTCTTTCTCTGACTTTCCCCTGCTAACTTATGCATGCATGTGCACCCTTTCTCTCAAAATAAATAAAAATGTGTTCGTTATTCTTATGTGGTCTGTTTGCTCTTAAAAGTTTTTATGTTTCCCTGTATTCCTGTAGCTAAAGCTGCTCTACCAAACATGTGCCTAAATAGTGTAAGTTTAATAGAAGCATCGCTGGCATTCCAGGATCAAATTACCTGACCTCTACTGAGATTTTTCTTATCAAATATTTAAGGACAATAGATTAGTTATTCCACCTTTCTGCAGTAACAGGAAATAAAATAATCTAAGCTTCACAGAGGAAATATTGCTGAGTCCCAACAAGGGGGGAGAGGGGAGAGTGGGGGATTCTTTATTATCCTGAATGACTACCCACCCCTGAAGTCCTTTTATTTTAGCACCGGGTTTTTCTCTTGCATCTGAGTGTCTTCTGTTCTAATACACAACTATGCTACCCACTTATGGATTTCAACGTTGTCTTCTTCACCTTGTCCCTTTTCTGGTAATAGAACCACTCTTTTCTTTGGAAAATCAATTCCATGTATTTTGGGTGGGGTAACCACGAGAACTAAGCTGAGCCCACTAACAACTTTCCAGCAGCTTTTCGATCAGGGAGCTGTCTGAGATGAAACTCGAGTTTGGAAAAGCTTAGATGGTAGAACTTGGGTCTTGTGTTGCTGTGATCATCTCACCTCCATGTGGGAAGAGGGTCTCACAGAACTGGAGCTCTAGGCATTTAAGGGCCTAGATGCTTCTCCAGTTGCATGAGCCAAATAATTTTTACACTAGTTTGAAGTGAATTTCTGTCACTCTCCAACCCCCCTAAATTTTTTTTAACATTCTTTCTATATCTGTTTTTTTTCAAAGCATTTTAGACATTACTTACTTTTTATTAGCAACCACATAAATACAGGGATTGTAGAATGTAGAAGATTTTGCAAATAGTGGAGCTATGATGGCCATTGAGGGAGGGATCTTCTTTGGGTCACCAAAAGAAGCCCATAAGCACACGATGGAATAAGGGGACCATGCCACCAGAAACATAAATATCATTATCACAGACATCTGTAAAATAAATCAATATTTGGCAAACCCAATATCTAAAATATTGAAATTTTTTAAATTTTTTAATGTTTATTTTTGAGAGAGAGAGAGAGAAAGAAGACAGAGAATCTGAAACAGGCTCCAAGCTCCAAGCCATCAGCACAGAACCTGATGTGGGGCTCAAACTCACGAACTGTCAGATCGTGACCTGAGCTGAAGTCGGATGCTAAACTGGCTGAGCCACCCAGGCACCCCAAAAACTGAATTTTTCCAAACCTCATTGTACTTTGCTTATGTGCCTGAAGTCCTCTATGATAACAAGAACTTGTTAAATGAGTAGAATGTTATACAGATGTAAAGGATGTCCTCTTTATCTGGGAAAGGAAGAATACAAAAGCTGGCTTTGATGAAAGGCACATGAAAACCCACTCTTAACCCATTTCTAGTAATTGTGCTATGGACTGCTGGCATTGTGCTTTTTCCTCTCACTCTCATTATTTGCTAATCTAAAAACTAACCTTCTCACTTTCTAAGTTCAATCTTGAAAAGACCAAAGTCCTGTATTGAGTTCACTGTATTGTAATACAGAAGCTCCACATAGATGTACAGTGCAGATAGTTTTGTAACGCAGCTCCCTTGCATCTCCTTTATATAAAAAAAATATAATTTTTACATTGTTCCTTATTGATTTTCCACTAAAATGATAGAGGTTTAAAAAGATCTAAACCCTTAAGGTCTGAGAATCACAGATTAGACAATAGCCTTGTAAAAATTAAAACTGAATAACCACTGGGCAAGCAGCAAATTATTTATCAGACACAAGAATAATTTAAAAATAAATTTAAAAAACTTTTAAAAGTACCATCAGTGAGGGAACATGAAATAGAGACTAATCCATTACGCAGAACTTCAGAAAGTCCCTGGATGTGGAGGTAACAGCTAGCTCTGAATGTAGGGCAGCACATGGAACTTAAAATAGCAGAACTCATTGAAATCTGCAAAAACAGACAAACTTCTGAATCCCCTTACCATTCCACCATGCAACTGCCCCATCCTCTCCCCAGAAGAATCCCAGAGCTTCAGTCTAAGAGGTAGGAAACTATAGGATCTTGGGCTTAGCAGAGAGCTGGAGCACTGTAAGAAAGAGGGGTGCTGCATGCTGTCTGTCCCCTCCCTGCTCTGAGCCATGAGAATCTGTGAAAACAGACTTGTGCTTCCCACTAAGGAACATGAAAGAATCTCCTTGGGAACTGACCAGCCCAGAAGAAAATACCTGGAGATACAGAGTGTCAGAAATTCCCCCCAAGGAAACATCCCAGTGAGGAGCATGTCCGGAGCTCACAATCAGCTTTTTAGTGTATCACTTTTTAAATATGCAGGAGACAGTCACTGACCACCAGATACTGAGGAAACAAACTGACAGGCAGAGACAAAAATGGTGTGTGTGTGTGTGTGTGTGTGTGTGTGTATCTATCTAATGTATATATATAAATTATATACATATATATGTACATAAACACACACACACACACACACACACACACACACACCCCACAATGGAATATCACTTACCCATAGAAAGAATGAAACTTTGCCATTTGCAACATGGATGGACCCAGAGGGTATTATATTATGCTAAGTGAAATAAGTCAGACAGAGAAAGACAAATACCATATGATTCCACCTATATGTGGAATCTAAGAAACAAAACCAAATGAACAAACAGACAGACAGAAATAGACTCATCAATATGGAAAGCGTGGTTGCCAGAGGGGAGGAACATAGGGGATGAGTAAAATAGGTGAGGAGAATTAAGAGGTACAAACTTCCAGTTATAAAATAAATAAGTCATAGAGGTGAAAGTACAGCATAGGGAACAGTCAATAATATTATAATGACATTTAATGGTGACAGATAGTAACTACAATTATTGTGGTGAACATTGTATCATGTAGAGGATCATTGAATCACTATGTTGTACACCTGAAACTAATATAACATTGTATGCCAACTATACTTCAATGATAATTCTTTTTTTTAAAAAGATACCAAAAAATGATGCAGAAATTCAGGGGAAACAAAAAATATGTGATGAACAGAAATGAGAGAAGATACATATCCATAAAACAAGAAGACGGGGCTATTGAAAAGGAGTAGAGGGTGTAAACTAATTCTTTTTTTTTTTTTTTTAATTTTTTTTTCAACATTTTTATTTATTTTTGGGACAGAGAGAGACAGAGCATGAACAGGGGAGGGGCAGAGAGAGAGGGAGACACAGAATCGGAAACAGGCTCCAGGCTCCGAGCCATCAGCCCAGAGCCCGACGCGGGGCTCGAACTCACGGACCGCGAGATCGTGACCTGGCTGAAGTCGGACGCTTAACCGACTGCGCCACCCAGGCGCCCCTAATTCTTTTTATCTATAAAAATGGGCTTTCTCCTATGCCCTATCTATAAAAGAAAGAGGAGAATTTTTAAAATGCAATAGAAAAGTTGAACAATGTGATTAGCCAGGATTGGGGTACTGAGGTGAGTCATGCAAGGGCAGGGTGAGATCCTATCTTTATTTAAAATTTTATATTTTGTTCAATGAGTTTCTGACATTAATTTTGATTTTTTTTTTAAAAATGCTACATTAACTGGAGCACCTGGGTGGCTCAGTCAGTTAAGCATCGGACTTCAGCTCAG